AAAAATATGGTTTTTTACTTTGTTGCAGTTTTTTTTTATCTCAACCTATGAATGCCTTGCTTCTTGTGAGTAAGGGGCTCCAATCTGTCCCCTTTGCTTATCTTCTCATGTTGCTTATCATTCCGTCTATTAAACATTCTTTTCTTTCCAAAAAAGAAAAAAAAAAACAGTTTTGAAATGAAAAAAATGATGACCAAATATTTGTCTATTTGTTCCCCCTGGTTTTTGGTGGAATATCCTAATTGTTTGTGTGTGTGTGTTTTTTTAAATGCATATTTAATTAATGACTTGTGATGACTGGGACAGCTCAAAAAAACTCACTGTTTTTCCATAACAAGCTCTTATCAAAATTTACCGCCCACACACTCAGTTAAAAACATTTATCTGCATATACACACAGATCATACACACACGCGCATACACACGAATGGCTTATTTTTATTAGCATAGTTACTGTTATTGCATTTCTTGTATAGCCTCTAGTGACTATTGTTTAAATTTAATCAAGATAAGCTACATATATTGGACATAAAGAATAATAAACTAACTCGCTCACATGTCTAAATACAGGGAGTTGAGTAAATAAGAATTTCGAAGTAGGCAATAGCTTAGCTGATAATACGAAAAAGCACAGAAAAAAATGGAATGGATTCGTATGACAAAAATGTCTATAGCTAAGGGTAATTTGAGGCCCAAGCATGGGGACAAATGTTGGGAAAAACAATACTGCAACAAAAATTAAAAAAAAAATAAATAATAAATAAAAACAATTAAAACCGCAACACAATCGTTTGGGCATTTGGAGGAAAAAAATCGCATAAATCACGTAGCAAAAAATGCTTTAAATTGCAATTAAATCAGTTTTTATACCCTCAGCCATTTGGCTAGAGAGGGTATTTATCATTTGATACGGCCAAAAAGGTGGCTCATCGAAATAACGGTTTAAGACCCTACGTCTCTTTGGACCAAACATTTGGAGTAGATCTAGTGATGTCCGTCTGGCTGGCTGGCTGGCTGGTGCGCACAATAACTGTCCGATTTGATTTAAACTTGGTACATCGTAATATTATTATCAAACTTAGATCGAGTTCGGAGATGGGAAATATCGGTCCACTCCTTCTGGTATCTTCCGCCACAAAATGTTAACATTTTCAAAGAAAATAAATTACTGAACAGCAAGAGAAAGGATTACCCGATTTGGCTTCAGCTTTGCATATCCTAATATTTGCCTCAGTGCTAGGTCAGGTGCGAAAATTGACAATATCGGTTCACTCCAACAAGTATCTCCCCCACAAAGGGTCATAATTTGGAATAATTATAACTCTAACTCGAACTCGAATCCGATTGTCTTCAAATTACATACATCACAATATTTTTATTAATCCAAGGTCTGGTGTAAAAATGGAATATATCTGTCCACTTCTACTGGTACCTTCCCCACAAAAGGTCTAAATTTTGAATATCAATGAAGCCCATAAAAAACAAAATTAACATTCGATTCCATTCAGACTTGGTACATAGCAATATTTCCATCAACACAAGATCTAAAATAAAGGTGGTAGGGATCGCAACATTCCTTCTGGTACCTCCCCCACAAAGGGTTACAAATTTGAATAACCAAAACGATCATAAAATCCGAAATAAGCTTCCGCTACTCTTCAAACTATACACATCACAATGTTTTTATTAACCCAAGGTGTGGTGTAAAGATATAATATATCGGTCCACTTCTTCTGGTACCTCCCCCACAAAGAGTAAACATTTGGAATATTCATGAAGCTTATAAAACACAAAATTAACATTCGATTCCATTCAGAATTGGCACATCGCAAAATTTCCATCAACACAAGATTTGTTATAAAGTGAGATGGTAGTGATCGGACCAATCCTTCTGGTATCTCCCCCACAAAGGGTTACAATTTTGAATAACCAAAACGATCATAAAATCCGAAATAAGCATCCGCTTCTCTTCAAACTACACACATCACAATATTTTTATTAACCCAAGACCTGTTATGAAGATGGTAGAGATCGGGCCATTCCTTCTGGTACCTCCCCCACAAAGAGTAAACATATGGAATATTCATGAAGCTCATAAAACACGAAATTAACATCCGATTCCATTCAGACTTGGCACAACGCAATATTTCTATCAACACAAGATCTGATATTAAGGTGGTAGAGATCGGACCATTTCTTCTGCAACCTCCCCCACAAAGGGTTACAATTTTGAATAACCAAAACGATCATAAAATCCGGAATAAGCATCCGCTTCTCTTCAAACTACACACATCACAATATTTTTATTAACCCAAGACCTGTTATGAAGATGGTAGAGATCGGGCCATTCCTTCTGGTACCTCCCCCACAAAGGGTTAAAATTTTGAATATCCACGAAGCTCAAAAAACACGAAACTAACATCCGATTCTATTCATACTTGGCATATCGCAATATTTCTATCAAAACAAGATCTGATATAAAGGTAGTAGGGATCGCACCATTCCTTCTGGTACCTCCCCGCATAGCTTTAAAGATTTTGAAGAACAAAAGGCTCAAGGAGAGCGAATAAATGCATCCAAATCCATCTCCTTAAATTTCCCACACACAAACATTTTTGCTAACAAAAGATCAGTTGTGAAGATGATATACATCTGCCAACCCCTTGTGGTACCTCACCCAAAAAGGGTCACAATTTCCAATATTTATATTTGTCATAACTTGAGAAACAATTCGTCGGTTCTTAACAACTTGCTTTATCTAAATATTTCTCCTAATCAGAAATCTGATATGATATGTAATTTATCGGAATTTATGATTTCCCATTTGATTAGATGAAGTATGAAAATGGAATACTTCGGTCCGCTATATCTGTTAAATTACACATGTTTCCACATTTTCCAAAAATTTGCAAATGGCTCATATGAAGAACATGGAGTAGCCGATATAGTCCAAATCTGTCAACTTGTAATATCTATATCAGTCTTAGGTCAGATACGAGTTTGTCAATATTGGTCAACTGCTTCGGAACATCCGCCATAAAGAATCAAGAGTTTGAATAATCATAAGTCAAGGCTGGGGATATACATTCATCTGTCGACAAAACCGACAGATACTATTTACTTAGTTTTTTCTTTAACATTGCATTTGGGATATTGTTGATCGGATGACAAATTATCCTTCAGAAAATGTCACAAGGGTTGATTTTTTTCTGCAATAGAATATTCTTCTGTGATGAATTTTTTTAATATTTCTGCAGGACAGATCATCCGGTTTTTAATTCTTCTTTGGAAAAGAAACTGCGGGAATATATTATTTCTTAAGGAGAGATAATCGGGTACGATTTTCTTTAAAAGATTTCATGCAGAATAAGTTTTCTTCGTACGACGAAATACATTCCGGGATTAATTTCGTTAGAAAGATTCATCTGGGAATGAGTTTTCTTACGGATGATTTTTTCTTTGATTTTTCTTTGATGCGATTTTCTTTAGAAAGGTTCATCCCCAATGATAAAACATCCGAATGATCTTTTCTCAGTGAAAAGACGCAAATAAGTGTTTTGTGCTCAAGGAGAAGTCGTTTTAAATGAGTTCTGGTGTATCAAGGAAGGATATATTCGGGATTTTTTCTGTAACATTCGATGAGTTTTCTACACAAAGACACTTGAAAGAAGTCCTGGGTCATATATGATAAACTCTATCATGGAAAAATCCAATTTAGATTAGTTTCGTTCTGCCAAATGTAATTTCAGATGATTTTTTGGTTCTCTTTAATGGCTTATTTAATAGTCGTTTCAGAACGAATCTGAAAAAAGATTATCATTGAGTTTTTATGCTCTAAGTTTGTAAATTATAATACTTGTCTTATATTTCCCAATTAAGTCCTGATACAGACTAGGCGACTAGGGCTAAAGTATGTTTTGGAACACCTGATTCACATCAAAAATGAAATGTAACTTAAAACCGCCAAGGCTAGAAGTTACCTTTGGCCTTCCCACTTCAATTTTCCTCTATTCATTAGCTATTTGTTTTTAATTTTTATCATTTTCTATACGTTCTACTCTTGAATTGATTAAATGAGACAGCTGATCGATGTTTTGGCTGATCATATTGGGATGTTGCAATTTTTTGCAGAATACTTGATTGATAAATCATTTTATAAGGATAAATCCTTATAATATTTGTTAAATCCTTTCATAGATAAATCCATTTCTGACAATTTTTACTCAATATGCAATTGCCATGGAGCCTTTGCAATCTTAGATTATTTTTCTTTGCCAAAAATAATTATAGAAATTTTTTTGATAAGGAGAAGGTCCTTTCCGATTAACTTGTCTATAAAATGCCATCCAGAACGAATCTGAAATAAAATCCAGTATTATTGAGTATTATACACTCAAAGGTTAAAAAATTATCTTGTCTTTGAATTTCCCAATAAGTAAATGTTTTACAATACCTAGATGTTACTTTTGGCCTTCTCATTTCCATTTATTTCTTATTTTCTCCTTTTTTTAACTTTTATCATTTTCTATTAGTTTGCCTTATAATTGCCAAGATTCTATTGAATTGATTAAATGATAGACAGCTGATCGATCTTTTGGCGGCAAAATATGCAATATGCGGCTGTCACGCATTCCTATTTCTCTGCCCCTTTTGTGTTTGGTTATGTTTATTCTCTCTCTCTCTCTCGCTCTCTTTCAAACACTCATCTAATTAGAATGAATTCCCTGACTTGTCTCAGTGTATGTTAGTATGGAAGTGATTAGACTTTGCACGACAAAAGTAAATAAGCAAAAAGTTATAAAAAATATACAACAATAATAATAAAAATAATAACATTTAAAAAAAAAAACTAACTAAAAAACATCACATACGTGTATGGGCATTAATGAGGCTAATGATGCTGGTTAAAATGTGTCAAATGTTTATGGTTGTTTGGGTTGTAGCACAAATATACAAATACCCTCTTTCCCCTCCCATTTGATTCTTTCAGAGTTACTTACCAGCGTTAAAGAAAAAATAATGCGCCTTCATGGGCAGTAAATCTTTGTCAACTTTTGGTCTCATTTTGATGCAGTAGCAGCGGCGGCGACCGGCGTAATTTAATGTTAATAATGATTATTATTTCTACTGCTGTTGTAATTATTCTCTGGTGGGTTGCTAATAGACCACCCTTCTTTGATTAGGCAAACACTGAATTGTAAAATGGCCCCTTGAATAGTTGAAATTAAGTTAAATCACAAAAGGAAATGTTAGAGTTTCGTGTTTTTTGTTGTTGTTCAGTTGTGTATGTGTGTTTTTTTGTGGGGTGTAAATATTGACATACACAGCCTAATTATATACTAAACAAACGATAAGTCGCGACACAATGAATTATGGATGACATTTACACTCCAGTAACAACAACAAAAGGCTATGGGCTTCTACATATTTTGTCGCTTTGGTCGGGTCAGTGGCTATGGGTCAATGCATAACAAAATGTTGCTTCTCAAGTGTCAATTGAAGTGAGTGCAAATCCTTTTTTCACACAATAACAACACCAAACAACAATAAAAGTATCTGCTTATTTAATTAACCACACATTTTTAATATATATTTCCCATTTAATTGATCATTAAAGACTTTTTAACCAGTTTTCTTAAACAATTTATTAACTCTTCACTTTATTTATTTCCACACACACACCATACTCCGTCTTCATTCATTCATGCACACTCTTATTTCCTCTCACACATTCTCTCTCTCGTTCACTCGGCCAACACATTTGTCATGCTGATTTACTTGTTTTTTTTTTGTTTTTCACCAATGAATTATTAAAAGTAATACACTTTGTCTTGACCAAGCACATGGATTTAAAGCTTACGCCAAGATTTTTTTGCTCGCGTATTGCGTGTCTAGCGCATCTTTTTGTATTCTGCGGGAAATTTATTTCGTATGGTTGACGAATAAATAAACACTAGCAGAAAAAAACGAAGGAAAACAATTTGACGGCTGTCAGTAAGGGTTGCCATATTGTCATTGAAAAACGTATGCTTAGCAACATTGATGGAGGGAAACAATGTTCTCAACGTCAAATGTGCTGGGAATTTTAAATTAGTCATGCAAGCTTTTGATTTATTATTTCAACAGATGTCGCTCTGTAATGAGGGGAAAACACTAATGGTAATTGTTATGGAATTTCCTGGGTAGACAGAAAAGTTCATTCGAGAGTTTTTTCCATATAGAAATGTTAATCATGGATAAAAAAAGTTCATTGATAAAGTTTTCTAAAGAAAAAATCATCATTGAAAAAATTTCTTAAGAAAAATTTGTTCTCGTTAAATCTTATCTAAATCTGAGATAATTTTTTCTTTACAGAATTGCATCGGGAATGAATTTTTCTTTAGCGAAGTTCATCGGAGATGAATTTTTCTTTAGAATAGTTTATCCGGGATGAATATTTCTTTAGAAAATTTCATCCGGGATGAATTTTTCTTTAGAAAAGTTCAACCGGGATGAACTTTTCTTTAGAAAAGTTCAACCGGGATGAATTTTTCTTTAATAAAGTTCATCCGGTATGAATTTTTCTTTAGAAAATGGCATCCGGGATGAAAAATTCATCCGGGATGAATTTTTCTTTAGAAAATTTCATCCGAGATGAATTTTTCTTTAGAAAAGTTCATCCGAGATGAATTTTTCTTTAGAAAAGTTCATCCAAGATGAATTTTTCTTTAGAAATTTTCATCCGGGATGAATTTTTCTTTAGAAATTTTCATCCGGGATGAATATTTTGTTCTCCTTAAATCTTATCTAAATCTGAGATAATTTTTTCTTTACAGAATTGCATCGGGAATGAATTTTTCTTTAGCGAAGTTCATCGGAGATGAATTTTCCTTTAGAATAGTTTATCCGGGATGAATATTTCTTTAGAAAATTTCATCCGGGATGATTTTTTCTTTGGAAAAGTTCATCCGGGATGTATTTTTCTTTAGAAAAGTTCATCGGGGATGAATTTTTCTTTAATAAAGTTCATCCGGTATGAATTTTTCTTTAGAAAAGTTCATCCAAGATGAATTTTTCTTTAGAAATTTTCATCCGGGATGAATATTTCTTTAGAAAATTTCATTCGAGATGAAATTTTCTTTAGAAAAGTTCATCCGAGATGAATTTTTCTTTAGAAAAGTTCATCCGGGATGAATTTTTCTTTAGAAAAGTTCATCGGGGATGAATTTTTCTTTAGAAAAGTTCATCGGGGATGAATTTTTCTTTAGAAAAGTTCATCGGGGATGAATTTTTCTTTTGAAAAGTTCATCGGGGATGAATTTTTCTTTAGAAAAGTTCATCGGGGATGAATTTTTCTTTAGAAAAGTTCATCGGGGATGAATTTTTCTTTAGAAAAGTTCATCGGGGATGAATTTTTCTTTAGAAAAGTTCATCGGGGATGAATTTTTCTTTAGAAAAGTTCATCGGGGATGAATTTTTCTTTAGAAAATTTCATCCGGGATGAATTTTTCTTTAGAAAATTTCATCCGGGATGAATTTTTCTTTAGAAAGGTTCATCTGGGATGAATTTCTCTTTAGAAAAGTTCATCCGGGATGCATTTTTCTTTAGAAAATTTCATCCGGGATGAATTTCTTTTTCTACAAAAGTAAAAAGTGTTTTTTTTTTAATTTTCAAGTTTTTTTTTATTGTTTTGTTGATTCTTTGTTTTACTTCTTCTTTTAAATATATTTTCTCGTTCAAAGCATTCTTCTCCGTCTGTCTCTCTTCCATTCTCTTAAATATTATTTTATATAAACATTTAACGAAAATTATTTATTTAATTAAAAAAAAAGAAAAAAGATGAGCAAAATTATGAAATTATTTGGGCGATGGAGGAGGTGGAGGGTCAGGCTTTTAAATTGGAGAAAATTAAAACACTATTGGCTTGTATAAAGAATTAACTAAAAAATATATAATGAAAAAAATTAATAATAATAATAGTAATAATTAATATAATTATAGTAATAGTTGTTGTTGTAGTTGTTTGTTGAAAAAAGAACATCGAGTTGAGGGTTTGTAAAAAAATAATGATTGGGGTTTTGAGGAGGAGTTGGGTAGGGGAGGGGGTAGGGGTAACGGGAGTTGTTTTTCAATCATATATATGACTATAATGTTGCTGATATATGTGTATATAGTTCTCCTTCTCCTGCTGAGACATTTGGCCAATTAGCACATCATTGATTTGATCAATGGGATGAGGACGGCCGGCCACCAAAACGGAAGGAACATCATCCTCTTCTTCTTCAGATTCGGAATTAATAAAGTTATTGTAATCATCGTTATTGGCTGATGAAAGAAAACGAAAGTCGAAATTAAATAAAGAAAATTGAAAAGAATTTCCTCGAATGACTACTCACGAATTTTGGTATTTTCTATGTCATTTTCATCATCACTCGAATCACTGGAATTGGCATTGGAAGTACCGAAACGTAGACCCTTGCTATTGTTTTTCTTTTGTTCAGGTTGTTTTTCATATTGCAACAGGACAGCCATGATGTCTTCCTGTTCCTTTTTGCGATTGTTGTTGAACGTACTGTTTGTGGTGCTGGTGGTGGAGGTGTTGCCTCCGGCGGCGGAAGACCACGCCGACAGGCCGGGTTGTTGGGAATTTTGTGCTGCTTCATTGAGTATGGCATCGGTATTGTCGGTATTATCCTCGGTGATGACCGTACTCTCCGTCATCCAAATGGGGCGGGCCTTACGTTCGGCCACGGTATCGGGCACATCATCACCGCCAATGTTAATGTCCACCCGGGTTTCTTCCACAGCAAAACCTTGGTTTCTCGTGGCCTCTCCGGACCATTGTTGGCCCTCGCCACGCACCGCCGAGGGTTTGTTAATCCTACAAAGAGACGAAAAGAAAATTAATACATTTTTTTTTTTCACAAAATAACCTTCCTCCACCACTTACCCTCTTATCGTATCAATATCCACCGGCTCGGGTTCCAAAATCTCCGGTGCCAATTTAATGCCCTCCACCTCCCTCAGCAGATCATACAATGGCTGTAACTGTTCATTGAATCTGGCCAACATCAGTCGCGAATCTTTGGTCGGCATGGCCGAGGTATCCTCCTCCACCGTACACCCACAATATGTACAACGAAATTCCTGAGTATTGAAGTCAAACAGCTGATCGGCCTCCAAATCCGTAAAGGTCTTATTACAATTCGTACACTTGAAACTCGCTCGACTTGTGGCGTCCCGCTCCTCCGTCTCCATGCGCTTGCGCATCAGATCCAACTTATATTTGACTACATTTACAAAGGTTTTATAATTTATAAAATAATAATTGACTTTTTGAGCCTTGCCATCCGGACCCGTTTCCATTTTGAGACGGATCTGAATGAATTTATCGCTGCGCAGGGTGGTGATGCGGGCCCGCATTTGTTTCTTTTCGAAACGTAACAGTTCGGCAATGTCATCCTCTTTCATGCAGGGATTCCGGACCAACATGTCGATGATGAGGGCATCCTCAATGGTGTAGAAGCCCCGGACAACCAGGCGGGCTAACTGTTTTAGACTACTAGGCACTTCGGTAACATAACGGATTTCTGTATTGGATGTGGCAGCAGCAGCAGGAGCTGAAGACATGGCAGAGGAAGTAGAGATGTGAAAGGAAGGATATTTGAGGCGTTATAAAGATGGGAGCTGGAAAGAGAGAAGTGGATTATTGCATTAAGAATTTTTGGAAAATCTAAATTCAATCAAACATCTAAATTCATTCGAAATGATTTTTTTCTATAGAAAAGTTCATCCGGGATGAAGTTTTCTTTAGAAAAGTTCATCCGGGATGGATTTTTCTTTAGAAAAGTTCATCCGGGATGGATTTTTCTTTAGAAAAGTTCATCCGGGATGGATTTTTCTTTAGAAAAATTCATCCGGGATGAAGTTTTCTTTAGAAAAGTTCATCCGGGATGAAGTTTTCTTTAGAAAAGTTCATCCGGGATGAAGTTTTCTTTAGAAAAGTTCATCCGGGATGAAGTTTTCTTTAGAAAAGTTCATCCGGGATGAAGTTTTCTTTAGAAAAGTTCATCCGGGATGAAGTTTTCTTTAGAAAAGTTCATCCGGGATGAAGTTTTCTTTAGAAAAGTTCATCCGGGATGAAGTTTTCTTTAGAAAAGTTCATCCGGGATGAAGTTTTCTTTAGAAAAGTTCATCCGGGATGAATTTTTCTTTAGAAAAGTTCATCGGAAATGAATTTTTCTTTAGAAAAGTTCATCGGGGATGAATTTTTCTTTAGAAAAGTTCATCGGGGATGGATTTTTCTTTAGAAAAGTTCATCGGGGATGGATTTTTCTTTAGAAAAGTTCATCGGGGATGGATTTTTCTTTAGAAAAGTTCATCGGGGATGAATTTTTCTTTAGAAAAGTTCATCGGGGATGAATTTTTCTTTAGAAAAGTTCATCGGGGATGAATTTTACTTTAGAAAAGCTCATCGGGGATGAATTTTTCTTTAGAAATGTTGATCGGGGATAAATTTTTCCTTAAAAATGTTCATCCGTGTTCAACTTTTTTTTAAAACGTATTATTTCTTCGCTAAAGTAGTTTTGTTTATATTTGCCCGTTTCCCACCAGCAACCAACAAATCCTAGTTTACTTAGCGCCATCTGTTGTTATTCAAAACCGAAAGCTTTCATTGGCCCGAAAAACACATTTGACATGTTGCCGCGCATCCATTTGTTTCGCAACATAACCACGTTCCCACACACATCTGGCAACAACACTTGTTTCGCTCTCCCTCTCCGGCGCGGTTTTTTGATGTTGTTGTTGTTGGTTTCTTTCAGGTTGCTGTGTTCTACTCTCTCTCTCAACATTTTGCATTGTCAAGTTTTGACATTTTTCCATTAGTCGTTTATTTTGTGTCATTCTTACCTCTTGTTGTTTCTGTATCTGTGCTGCTGCTGGGGTATCGTCGTCGCTTTCGTTGGTGTGTGATTAGAGTAGGAATTTTTTTTATAATTTTTGAAAACACTTTTTCACCGCTGTTAACAATGAAAAACGTCAACTTTCATATCGCTCAGCATAATGTCGGCTTGGCGAAGATGTGTGTATAGTTTTTGAGGAGTTTAATTGCCTTATTCTTAGACAATTATTAGTTTTTTGAGGAGACTATAAAAATGCCCGACCGCAAAATATCTGCGTAAGGCGAGACAGGGTATTTCATGTGGTGTGTGTGCATGGAAATTGCAGTTTGTGAGAAAACATATGTTCTCAATTGTTGATGTTTCGTGGGCACCCTGTTCAGAGACAGGGTTGCTTGATGCTAAAATTGGGTGCTGCTTGAACGATGACGTGTGACAAAATTAATGTGCTCTTGAGGGATTTTTGTTGGAAAATGTGGTTTTCGTTGATTTTGTTTGCAATTTTTTAGGTTTTTATGAAAATTTCGAGTTTTTCTTGTTTTAGAAGAATAATGAGTGCATATTTTTCTGCTTGTTGCTATGTGCCCTGGTTTAAGTTTAACATTTAATTAAACAAGTTAAAAACAAATTAGGTACTTTTTCTTGACAATTAGTCGAAAATTGGAGGTTTGGCAAAATATTTGTTTATATTGTTTATATATATTTCAATAGTTAAAAACCCTATAAGAATATTTGTAATATATTTGTTTACATTCAACTTGTAGGAAAACAGAATATAATTTGTACAAAAATGTATGTATTTATTTATTTTTTTAAATATATAAGTTTGAAAATTAGATAAAAATAGATTCGAAAAATTAAAGTAAAATTGAAATTGAATTTTTTATATAACATATTTTGTATATAAAAATTAATTAATTAATATTTAATAAACAAAATATTTTAATAAATTAATTTTTATTTTTATTATATTAATTATTTTTTGTTGGAAATTCAAAAAATATATTTTTTAAAACCCCAATTTTGTTAAAAATTTAAAAAAAGTCCAGGTTTATTGAAATTTAAAAAAAAATATTTGTTTGAAGCGTCTTATGTTGTAAATTTAAAAAATATATATTTAAAAAACAAAATAAATTTTAAAAAATTAATTTTTTTTATATTTTTTTGTTGGAAAATAAAAACAAAAATACTTTTAAAAATATGCATTTGTTAAGAATATAGAAACAAATCCATGTTTGTTGTATATATATTAAAAAAAAACATAATTTTTAAAAAATTATATTTTTTTATATTTTTTGTTGGAAATAATTTCTTTTTTAAAAATCCGCATTTGTTAAGAATATAAAAAATCCACGTTTGTTGAAATTTAAAAAAAATGTTTTTAAAGCGTCTTCTGTTGTAATTTAATAAAAAAATATATAAAAAATAAAATAAATAAAATATTTTAATAAATTAATTTAAAAAAATCTTTTGTCGGAAATTTAAAAACAAATATTTTTTAAAAATCCACATTTGTTAAGAATATAAAAAAATCCACGTTTATTGGAATTTTTAAAAAATATTTTTTTAAAGCGTCCTCTGTTTGTAAATTAAAAAAAATATTTAAAAAAATTAAATTTTTTATAATTTTTTTTTTTTAATTTTTTGTTGGAAATGAAAAAAAATATTTTTTAAAAATCGGAATTTGTTAAGAATGTAGAAAAAACCACGTTTGTTGAAGTTTTTTTTAAATATTTCTTTTTTAATCGTCATCTGTTGTAAATTAAAAAAAAAAAAATATTTAAAAAAATTAACTTTTTTATAAATTAATTTTTAATATTAATAATTAATTTTTTTAAAAATCCGCATTTGTTAAGAATATAAAAAAATCCACATTTTTTTTAAAATGTTTCTTTTTTAGTCGTCATCTGTTGCAAATTTAAAAAAAATGACACTAACAAAATATATTCAAAAAAATAATAAATTTAAAAAAGAAATAAAATTAATTAAAAGAAAAAAATGTGTTTTTTAATTTAGTTTTGTGAAAAATATATGAAAAAATATGTTTTTTAAAATATCCAAATTTGAAAATAAAAAAAATTATATATAACAAATATAATAAATAAATATTTTAATAAATTAATTTTTTTCTTATTTTTTTTTTGCTGGAAATTAAAAAAATAATTTTTAAAAATCCGCATCTGTTAAGAATATAAAAACCCACGTTTGCCTAAATTTTTTTAAAAATGTTTCTTTTAAAATCGTCATCTGTTGCAAATTTAAAATAAAATATTTCAGAAACACAAAAAAAATATTTTTGAGAAAATTAATAAATTTAAAAAAGAAACAAAATTAATTAAAAGAAAAACAACGTTTTTTTAATTTAGTTTTGTGAAAAATATATGAAAATATGTTTTTTTTAAATATCCAAATTTGAAAATTAAAAAAAAATTTTAAGAAAAATCCAGTTTTATCGAAACATAAAAAAATATTAAAAACTTCACGTTTGTTAAAAATTTAAAAAAATCCACGTTTTTTAAATATTAAAAAAAAACATTTCTTAGAAAAATCCAAGTTTGTTAAAAATAATGTTTAAAAAAATTCAGTTTTATCGAAAATTAAAAAAAAAATTGTAAAAAAATTCACGTTTGTTAAAAATTAAAAAAAAATTCACGTTTGCCAAATATTAAAAAAAAACATTTCTTAGAAAAATCCAAGTTTGCTGTAAAGGTAAAAAAAATATTTTAAAAAAATCCACGTTTGCTAAGAATTAAAAAGAAATAATTAAAAAATCCACTTTTGTTAAAAATTAAAAAAAATGAAAAAGATCCTCGTTTGCTAAAAATTAAAAAATACACTTTTGTTGAAAATTTGAAAAAAAAAAATATTTTCAAACAGAGAAATTAAAAAGAAAAGAGAAATAAAAAATTAAAAAAATCAATTTTTGTTGAAAATTTTAGAAAAATATTTTTAAAAACTCCATATTTGTTGAAAATTTTAGAAAAATATCTAAAGAAATTAAAAAAAAAATCAAAAAAAAAAAGGTTGGAAATTTTAAAAATATTTTCTTAAAAAATTCACGTTTATTGAAAATTTACAAAAATCCACGTTTGTTGAAAATTTAAAAAATCCACGTTTGTTGAAAATTAAAAAAATCCACGTTTGTTGAAAATTTAAAAATCCACGTTTGTTGAAATTTAAAAAATCCACGTTTGTTGAAAATTTAAAAAATCCACGTTTGTTGAAAATGTAAAAAATCTACGTTTGTTGAAAATTTAAAAAATTCCACGTTTGTTGAAAATTTAAAAAAAATTCACGTTTGTTGAAAATTTAAAAAAATCCACGTTTGTTGAAAATTTAAAAAATCCATGTTTGTTGAAAATTTAAAAAAATCCACGTTTGTTGAAAATTTAAAAAATCCACGTTTGTTAAAAATTTAAAAAAATATTTAAAAAACAATAAAAAATTGTTGAAAATTAAAAACAATAATTTTTTTAAATCTACGCTTGTTAAAAAATATATATTTTTATATATCCAAGTATGCTGAGAATTTTAAAAAATAATTTAAAAAAAACCGCTATCTTTCAAATAAAAAACAATTTAAAAATTATTTTATTTATGTTTTATATTTTCTGCTAATTTTTACATAGCTTTTTTTGTTTTGTTTTATTTTTAATCCAGGCTCCTCCATTTTGGGCTCTGACAAGTAAAATCTACGCTTGTTAAAAGTATATTTTTTAAAATATCCAAGCTCGCTGAAAATTTAAAAAATATATATATTGTTTAAAAAACCGCCATCATTGAAAATAAAAAACACATTTAAAAATTTACTTTTATTTATGTTTTATATATTATTTTATGTTTTTTTATTTTTTTTTATTAATTTTCACGTGTATTTTTTGTTTTATTTTTAATCTAGGCTCCTCCGTTTTGGGCTCTGACAAGTCATTACCATTACTTTCACCCACTCATTAAAATCGCTTACCTCAAAGAGCATGTGTGTGTGACTCAGAGCCGGAGAAGTGTCTTTATGTTTGACATTAAAAGTTTTTTCTTATGTTGTTGTTATTGTTGTTGTTATTGTTGTTTTGTTTTTAGTTTAATGCTTTTCGGTACTTGAGATTCCATTTCATTGTTGCTGCTGGTGCTGCTACTTGCTGGTCCATTTCTATTTTTGTTGTTGATGCTGTCATTGCTCTTTGGTACTTAGCTTGCCATGTCCTTGTTTTACAAGGATTTAGTTTTTCTTTTCATGTTTCTGTTTCTTTGTTTTCCTCTGGCGCGTGGGATTACCAAAGTTCAATAGCGTACGTTATTGTAAACAACAACTGCAGGGGCAAGATGCAGAGAAAAAGGTAATGTGTGGCCATATTCCTTACATTTCCCGCTCTCCTTTTTTCTATTTGTTGACTATTTTTGTTTTTCTGGGGGGAATTATTTTCTCCCTCTCTCTCTGTGTTGGAAAAAGTAGATGAAGTAAATACCCATAAAAATAAAAGTAAAATTATATTGACGGCCCAGACATTTGGACGCCAAACTGTTCCATTTAATATTTTATTTAGTTCAAAGAAAATAAGGAGCAAAAAGATAAAGACCAAGAAGAAGAAGAAAATACAGCCGTTGTTGTGTGCGGCCAGGGATCTCAAAAAGTCAACACACATTACTCACTCTCTCACACATACACACACCCCGATGAGCGACTTAACGGAGTATTGCCATTGCATTCCTTTTGTTGGGGGAGATGAGAGTAGCCTACCGATATCATCAAATGAGACACATAACGGAGTATTCTCATGGGAAGGAAAGAGATGAGAGCAGATAAACAACGTCAACTTACAATGAAGTGGACACAGGCAGACACACTCTCATGCGTGTGTGCGTGTGTGTAACTCTAAATGGGATTATTTAACTTTGTAACCAGACAACATCAAAATAAAACATCAATTCCCTTTTGCACATTCATGACGTGACGTGTCGTGGAGAGAGTTAACAACTTTAACGTTGATGCTGGTATTTCTTTCAAAGTTGGCTTTTTTTGGACATTTTGCTTTCATTTGATGTGGATGACGATGATGGATGTTGTTTTTGAAGTGTTTGAATTTTCTAACAAAGTTTTTCTTCTTCTTTTTTTAGGTGAATATCAAAGAATGGAAATTGAAGGTGGAATAAGAAAATGGGATACAAATGAGAGGAAATAAAGGGCAATGGTGAAGGCATGAACTAAATCATGAATTGAAATCAAATTGAAAGGCAAACAAAAAACTATTAGAAAATCGATTGGGAACAACTCATCGAAGGAAACTAAAGGAACATTTTTTATAGACCGAAGAAGATCTCTCCGACAACATGGATCAAAAAAAAAACAAGAAACAAAAATAAAAATGGACAATTGAAAAAGAAAAAAAAAAACAAAAAACAAAAATAAAAATGGACAATTGAAAAAAAAAAAAAAAAAAAAAAAAAAAAAAAAAAACAAAAATAAAAATGGACAATTGAAAAAAAAAAAAAAAAAAAGACATAAAATAGTATCAGTCGGTTTTGCCGACAGATGTATGTATACCCCCAAATTTGAGAAGATGGATGGATGGATTTGGATGATTGTTTCGCTTTCTTTAAGAGGTTGGTTTCTCAAAATCTCGAACCCTTTATGGGGGAGGTACCAGAAGGAATGGTGCGATCTTTACCATCTTTATAACAGATCTTGTGTTGACGAAAATATTGAGATTTGTCAAGTTTGAATGGAATCGGATGTTAATTTCGTGTTTTATGAGCTCCATGAATATTCAAAAATTTTGACTCTTTGTGGGGGAGGTACCAGAAGGAGTGGACCGATATATCCCATCTTTACACCAGATCTTGGGCTAACCAAAATATCGTCATGTGCCTAATTTGAAGAGCATCGGATGCTTATTTCGAATTTAATGATCGTTTTGGGTTATTCCTAATTTTAACCCTTTGTGGCCGAGGTACCAGAAGGAATGGTCCGATCTCTACCATTTTTAAAACAGATCTTGTGTTGACGGAAATATTGAGATGTGCCAAGTCTGAATGGAATCGGATGTCAATTTCGAGCTTCAAGAATATTCAAAATTTTGAACCTTCGTGGGGGAGGTACCAGAAGGAGTGGACCGATATATCCCATCTTTACACCAGATCTCGGGCTGACCAAAATATCGTGATGTGTCCAATTTGAAAAGAATCGGATGCTTATTTCCGATTTTATGATCGTTTTTGTTATTCAAAATGTTAACCCTTTGTGGGGCAGGTACCAGAAGGATTGGTCTGATCTGTACCATTTTCATAACAGATCTTATGTTGATGAAAATATTGAGATATGTGAAGTCTGAATGGATTCGGAGGTTAATTTCGTGTTTCATGAGCTTGATGAATATTCAAAATTTTGAACCTTTGTGGGGGGAGGTACAAGAAGGACTGGTCCGATCTCTACCATCCTTACAATAGATCTTGTATTGATGGAAATATTGAGGTGTTCCAAGCCTCAATGGAATCTGATGTTAATTTCGTGTTTTAGGAGCTTCATGGATATTCAAAAATGTTGACCCTTTGTGGGGGAGGTACCAGAAGGAGTGGACCGATCTCTACCATCTTTCTAACAGAAATTGTGTTGATGGAAATATTGAGGTGTACCAAGTCTCAATGGAATCGGATGTTAATTTCGCGTTTTAGGAGCTTCATGGATATTAAAAATTTTGACCCTTTGTGGGGGAGGTATCAGAAGGAGTGGACCGATGTATTCTATCTTCTTGGGTTAATAAAAATATTTTGATGTGTGAAATATGAAGAGAACCGGATGCTTATTTTGGATTTTATAATCGTTTCTGTTATTCGAAACTTTGACCCTTTGTGGAGAAGGTACCAGAAGGAATGGTCCGATCACTACCATATTTACAATAGATCTTGTGTTGATAGAAATATTGCGATGTGCCAAGTCTGAATGGAATCGGATGTTAATTTCGTGTTTTATGAGCTACATGGATATTCAAAATTTTGACCCTTTGTGAGGTAGGTACTTGATGGAGTAGAACGATATTGTCCATTTTCGCACCTGCTGTAGCACTGATGGAAATATTTAGATTTGCAAAGTTGGAGAAAAATCGGGGTACCCTTTCTCTTTCTGTGCAGAAAATTATATTCTTTGAAAATTTGGACCTTTTGTGGGAGAGGTACCAGAAGGAGTGGATCGATATTGCCCATCTCCGAACTCGATCTAAGTTTGATAATAATATTACGATGTTCCAAGTTTGTATCAAATCGGATACTCCCATCGAGAGTTATGGTGCGTATCAGTCAGCCAGCCAGACAGACGGACGGACATCCCTAGATCGACTCCAAATTACCTGAAATGGATTTCATCCAAAGAGACCTAGAGTCTAAAACCGTTATTTCGATGAGGCACGTTTTGACCGTATCAAATGTTATATAACCTCTCTAGTCACATGTCTAAGGGTATAAAAATCAAAAGGAACCCCATGGGGCTTCCCCCAAAAATGAAAGCATTTGCAATTCCATCTACTCACCTGCATTGTGGTCTCCGTACCAGGCGGTGCAACAATGCTCGCATACGAAGCCATTGTTGCATAGAATAGGCCAAAGGTCACACCGTTCAGCAGCTCAATGGGCAATACATACCATGGATCCTGCAGCATAGAGTACAATATAAAACGTACACCGAAACCGAATAGCACCATGCTCATGGCATTCACATGACCGATTTTCTTTAAAATCCAACCGGAGAAAAAGAAAAACGGCAATTCTCCACAGAAACATTGAATGGACATAACAAAACCTTGTAGCGTTTTCATGTAGGTGGCATCACAGCCGCCCAACGTTTCCAGGTGTACAAATAAAAAGTTCCAAATGAGGGCGGTACCCAGACCAATGAAGATGCACCATATAAAAAAGATCAAACATCGAATGGAGAGGAACATTTGACCCACATCTTTGAGGATATTGGGCGATAAGTGGGTTTGGGTGTGCTGTAAAGAGAGAGAGATCAGAGATGAAAAAAAAAACATTAAAAATTAGAATTTTTAAACATATTTTTCTCGAAATTATCAAATTTTACGCAATGTGGAAAAGTCTCCACTTTTGGAGACTTTCTAAAATCACTTGAAATGCGGCTGTACGTAAAATTTTTAAACGTATTTTCCTTAAAATTATAAAATTTTATGCAATTTGGAAAAGTCTCCACTTTTGGAGAGTTTCAAAAATCACTTGAAATACTGTTTAAAATGTTTCGGTAGTAAATTACAATGAAAGTAAGCATATTTGCTCAATATTTAAAAGGTCTCCACTTGTGGAGAATTATTACAAATCGCTATTCGGAACTTTAAAGCAAAGTATAACCTTCAAATCAATTTTATTATAGCAAAAAAAAAAATGAAAAATACAATTTTAAATTTAAAATAATACAAAACACTCAAATTTAATATTGCTGTTTTAAAATATTTTCAATTTTTAAAGAATCTCGAAATTTCTATACAACTTTTTTACTTTGGGCTCTAAACTCGATATTTTTATAATTTTTATAAAGAAAAAATTGTTTAATATCATGCAACGAAATACAATTTATGAAAAATTCAATCAAAATAATTAAAATTATGAAATTTTGAAAAGTCTCCACTTTTGGAGACTTTCGAAAATGAATGGAAACATTATGCACAATGGTTGTATTGTCATTGGCAATAAAAACTAGAATATTTAGAGCACTTTTACCAAGTCTACACTTGTGTAGAGTTTTTAAAAGTGAAACTCTGAAGGTTTTTTGACTGTTTAATGATCAAAATATATCTATGAAGTAGTTAAACACATTTCCAAGGAATTTTAAAAAAGTCCCCCAATGTGGAGAGTTTTCAAAATTGCTCGTAATGTGGTTTTGAATAATTTTCCAATAACTGGCAATGAAAATAATTTATGCACAATGATTGTATTATCAATGGCAATAAAAACTAGAATATTTAGAGCACTTTTACCAAGTCTACACTTGTGTAGAGTTTTTAAAAATATAATATTTTTTGGTTTTTTGACTGTTCAATTTTCAAAACATGTCTATAAAGTCGTTAAACACATTTCCAAGAAATTTAAAAAAGTCTCCAAAAGTGGAGACTTTTCAAAATTGCTCGTAATGTGGTTTTGAATAATTTTCTGATAACTGGCAATGAAAATAAATTATGCACAATGGTTGTATTGTCATTGGCAATAAAAACTAGAAAATTTAGAGCATTTTTACATAGTCTACACCTGTGTAGAGTTTTAAAAATAGAAATTTTGATGTTTTTTGACTGTTTATTGTTCAGAATATATCTAGAAAGTAGTTTAACACATTTCCAAGAAATTTAAAAAAGTCTCCAAAAGTGGAGACTTCAAAATTGCTCGTAATGTGGTTTTGAATAATTTTCTGATAACTGGCAATGAAAATAAATTATGCACAATGGTTATATTATCATTGGCAATAATTTTAGAGCATTTTTACCAAGTCTACACTTGTGTAGAGTTTTTAAAAATAGAAATTTTGAAGGTTTTTTGATTGTTTATTGTTCAATATACGTCTATAAAGTAGTTAAACTCATTTCCAAGAAATGTAAAAAAGTCTCCAAAAGTGGAGAGTTTTCAAAATTGGTTGAAAATTTGTTTTGAATAATATTCTGATAACTGGCAATGAAAATAAATAATGCACAATGTTTGTATTGTCATTGGCAATAAAAACTAGAACATTTAGAGCATTTTTACCAAGTCTACACTTTTGTAGAGTTTTTAAAAATAGAAATTTTGAAGGTTTTTTGATTGTTTATTATTCAAAATATGTCTATAAAGTAGTTTAACACATATCCAAGGAATTTAAAAAAGTCTCCAAAAGTGGGGACTTTCAAAATTGCTCGTAATGCTGTTTCGAATAATTTTCTGATAACTGGCAATGAAAATAAATTACCCCTGATCCATATTTTGAACTCTACACTTGTGCAGAGTTCTTAGAAAATGCAAATTTGGCAATAAATACTAGAAATTTTAGAGGATTTTTACCAAGTCTACACCTGTGTAGAGTTTTTAAAAATGGAAACTCTGAAGGTTTTTTGACTGTTTATTGTTCAAAATATGTCTATAAAGTAGTAACACACATTTCCAAGGAATTTAGAAAAGTTTCCAAAAGTGGAGACTTTTCAAAATTGTTCGTAATGGTATTTTGAATAATCTTCTGATAACTGGCAATGAAAATAATTTATGCACAATGGTGGTATTATCATTGGCAATCAACACTAAAAAATTTAGAGCATTTTTACAAAGTCTACACTTTTGTAGAGTTTTTAAAAATAGAAATGTTGAAGGTTTTTTGATTGTTTATTGTTCAAAATATATCTACAAAGTAGTTTAACACATTTTCAAGAAATTTAAATAAGTCACCAAAAGTGGAGACTTTTCAAAATTGCTCGTAATGTGGTTTTGAATAATTTTCAGATAACTGGCAATGAAAATAAATTACGCACAATAATTGCATTATCAATGGCAATAAAAACAAAAATATTTAGAGCGTTTTTACCAAGTCTACACTTGTGTAGAGTTTTTAAAAATTGAAACTCTGAAGGTTTTATGACTGTTTAATGCTCAAAATATGTCTATAAAGTCGTTAAACACATTTCTAAGAAATTTAAAAAAGTCTCCAAAAGTGGAGAGTTTTTAAAATTTGGGTGAAATTTTGTTTTGAATAATTGTCTAACAACTGACAATGAAAATAAATTATGAACAATGATTATATTATCAATAAAGTAGTTAAATACATTCCCAAGAAATTTAAAAAAGTCTCCAAAAGTGGAGGCTTTGCAAAATTACTCGTAATGTGGTTTTGAATAATTTTCTGATAACTGGCAATAAAAATAAATTATGCACAATAGTTGCATTATCATCGGCAATAAATACTAGAAAATTTAGAACATTTTTACCAAGTCTACACTTGTGTAGAGTTCTTAAAAATTGAAATTCTGAAGGTTTTTTGACTGCTTAATGTTCAAAATATGTATATAAAGTATTTTAACAGATTTCCAAGGAATTTAAAAAAAGTCTCCAAAAGTGGAGAGTTTTTAAAATTGGTTGAAAATTTGTTTTGAATAATCTTCTGATAACTAGCAATGAAAATTAGTTATGCACAATGGTTATATTATCATTGGCAATAATTTTAGAGCATTTTTACAAAGTCTACACTTGTGTAGAGTTTTTAGAAATATAATTTTTGAAGATTTTTTGATTGTTTAATGTTCAATATACCTCTATAAAGTAGTTTAACACTTTTCCAAGAAATTTAAAAAAGTCTCCAAAAGTGGAGACTTTTCAAAATTCCTTGGAAATGTTGTTTTGAATAATTTGCTAATAACTGGCAATGAAAATAAAACACCCCTGATCCTTATTTTAAAGTCTACACTTGTGTAGAGTTCTTAGAAAATGCAAATTTGAAGATTTTTTCATTGTTTTGTGCATTACTGTATTATTAATGATACAAATAAAATCAATTCAAGTGAAATTCGAAAATAAAAGTTTCAAAATTTTTTGCCAAATGGTTCAAAATAATCGTGGATTTGTGGGGAAAAATAGAAAGGTTGTCAAAAGGTTTATTGCCAATTTAAAAGAAAATACTCCTGATTGTTCTTTTGAAGTCTCCATATGTGAAGTATTGTGAAATTGACAATTTTTAATATTTGGTTTAAAGAATTTTATATAAGTTCCTAATCCTAAAAAGTTTGATATTCAAAATATCTAATTTTCTCAAAAAAAAAAAAAAAACCTACCTTCAATTTCATTGAGGCCACAACATCCAAACCAATTAGCACGGCTGTCATCCAAAAGACAATGGTGTAATCCTTTTCGACACCATTCGACATCTTATCCACCAAAACCCCCGCCAAAATGGAGAATATACCCCAACCGACCGAACCATAGAGACGTTGTTTGCCATACAAATGGGCCCGTTCACCCAATATGCCAAAACAAATGGCATCACCAATACTGACCACAGCCGCCATACCAATCCATGATATGATCAACATACCAAAGAACCACCAGAATTGATATAAACCCATGGCCGCTGTGGTACTTATCACCGGACTATCGGCTATTTTACTATCCAAATAGGTGTCATTGCAATCCATGGAACAGATGCTGCTGAAATATGGCTTGTCGCTGGGACAATACATCGTTGCATTGTGGCCATTCACTTCGGCATGGATGTGCGGCACACTGAAGAAAACACAACCCTCATTGGAGGTTTCATTTCTTTCCACCAGGAGATTTGTGAATGTGGCACTTATATCTATGTCTGCATTATCATTTGGGGGCGGACACAGTCCGGTAGTGTTCCAGTCTTTGCATATTATATCCCACATAAAGGCCTGGGCGGGACAATTAAGCTTACATGCTAATGCCTTGTCCTGATAGTCTCGCTCGATTTCGTTTAACGTGCACTGATCTTCGGTGCAAAAATGAAAATTCGCCCCACCCGCATGACAATGAAAGGTCACCGAGGGCAGCTGTTGTGGAATGGCGGGCGTGAACATAATGGCAAAGAAGGCAACTGCGGTTAGAATTTCAGCGGCTATAAAAAGGCTGCGATGCCGTTGGTATCTGAAGGGGAAAAAAATTGGAAAATTTGAAATAATTTTCTAAAAAATTGAAATTTTGAAAAATACTTACCGATCTGCTATAAATCCGCATAATGGCTTGGCCAGCATGCCAATTACCGGCAATATAGCATACATGGTCCCCACAACTACATTTGAATAGCCCAATTGTTTGGCCAGGGTGGGCATAAAGGGTACAACCGGTGCAGTGCCTGAAAAGGGGGACGATAATGAAAATTTTAAAATTTAAAACTTAATTTTTTGGAGTTTCAGGATAGGTATTTTTTATTCAAAAACTTTAATATATTTTCAAAATAATAGTAAATTTTTTACATTTTGAAGTGCCACCACTTCCACGGTACAATATCCGAAGATTTTGGTGGCCATTGGCCATTCGCCGGGAATGGGCCAAAATGCCGCAGAGCAACATTCGGGCATAGCGTGTGACAGTTTCATTGGCCGTTTGAAGGCCATAATTCGTGCCAAAGGTGACTAATTCAAATAAATCTAGACTTATTCTAAAAATTGATGCTATTTCCAACATTTTTATACCCTACACCACAAGGTGGTCAGGGTATTATGTCTTTGTGCATTTGTTTGTAACAGGTAAAAGGAAACGAGATAGACTCATAGTTCCTTTTGATGATCTGCATAGAATCACTTTCTGAGTTGATTTATGCATGTCAGTCCGTCTGTCCGTCCGTCTGTCCATGTATTCCGTCTGTGAACAAAATGCAGGTCGCATTTATTATCCGATTGAGATGAAATTTTGCAAACAACATTTGTTTGGCCCAAGGACGAACCCTATTGAAATTGGAGATAATCGGTCAAAATTTAGATATAGCTCCCATATATATCTTCGTCCGATTTGCCTTATATTGTGCACCAAACGTGTAATATCAGCCCGAATAGTATGGAATTTTGCACATACAACCAAATTAGGCCTGAAAATAAGTATGCCAAATTTGATCGAAATCGGTTCAGATATAGCTATAGCTCCCATATATATTGTTCATCCGATTTGCTATTTTTGTCCTCCGCAGCCGTAATATGCACTCTGTAACAACAATATTTGGGGAAATATATCAAATGCAGCTCAGAAATACCTTTGCTAAATTTTATCGAGATCGGTTCAGATTTGGATATAGCTCCCCTATATATAACTTCGTCCGATTTACAATTTATTGTGCACTAAACGTCTAATATTTGTCCAAATGGGATGGAATTTGGCACATACGACCGAATTTAGTCTAGAAGCTAGTATGCCAAATTTGATCGAAATCGGTTCAGATATAGCTATAGCTCCCATACATACTGTTCATCCGATTTGTTTTTTTTTGTCCTCCTCAGCCGTAATATGCACTCCCCGTAACAACGATATTCAGGGAAATATATTTTAAATACAGCTCAGAAATATCTTTGCCAAATTTTATCGAGATCGGTTCAAATTTTTATATAGTTCCCATATATATATTTTTATCCGATTTCAAATTAATTTCGCACCAAATGGGCAATACAAGTCCGAATTTAAAAGATACAAATGCTTCGGCATATTTAGTCCTTTGAATTTTAAATTATAATTATAATCATAGCGTGGTGCATGATTGAATTCTCCCATAAAAACTTTTAATTGTTATGTGGAGCTCTACTAAGTTAGCAAAGGGTATCATAAAATCGGCCCCGCCCGACTTTAGGACTTTCTTTACTGGTTTGCTTTCATTCAATAAAATTTAAAAAAAAAATGTAAAAATTATGGCGTTTGACTCTGTTGCAGTTTTTTTTTTAACCTCACTCTGTAATTGAATTTTCAAAAGTCTGAAATTTTGAAGGCTTCAAGAAAATTTTGAATGTAGAATTGATTTTCATAATTTTCGAATAAAATCTAAGTATGTGGAGAACTATATACTGTGATTATAATATTGAAACATTTTCAAATTATGACTTTATTCAATAATTCTTATCAATTTTGAAATTGAAATGGGCAGGGAAAACCATTTAGGCTCCATAAAAGCCATTAAATTTTTGAAAAATATTCCAATCTCCCAAAATTTATTTATTTGCATTATTTACTTTTTTAAGGTCTTTGAATGCTTTTTTTTTTTTTTTTTTTTTTTTTTTTTTTTTGTTGGTCTCTTGGCGAGCAATCTTATCAGCCACAATCAATTGGTATTGAAAAAAAAAAAGACTTTTCGAAAACCAAAAAGCATGGTTACAAATTCAATTAGTCGCCTATTTCAATCATATTTCTTTAATCTAGATTGACATTCCGACGCTTGTGTGCAATTGGCCAATAGAGGGCTATGTAGGTTTTAATTGATTGAATGGAATGATCATCAACGAAATCAAAAGGAAGAGCATTGCTGTCTGGCTAGGCTATTAATAATAGGTATAATAACAAATGATGGGGCTGGGGAGAGACACAATAAACAAATGTGAGGGTAGAGGAAGGAAGTATTTGAATGCAGAAGTGTGAGGATATTCAACTTTGGACTTAATAGGGAGATGATGGGGAAAAGATGTGTTGTTACGGAGGGCATATTACGGAGGGCATATTACTGAATATGGTTGTTACGGAGGGCATATTACGGCTGCGGAGGACAAAAAGTAACAAATCGGATGAACAGTATGTATGGGAGCTAAGCTATATCTGAACCGATCTTCACCAAATTTGACATACTAGTTTCTAGACTCAATCGTAAGTGCCAAATTTCATCCAATTTGGGCAAATAGTAGAAGTTTGGTGCACAATCAAAGGTAAATCGGACGAAGTTATATATGGGAGCTACATCCAAATCGGAACCGATCTCAAAAAAAAATTTGGCAAATATATTTATGAGCTGTATTTGATATATTTCCCCAAATATTGTTGTTATCGAGTGCATATTACGGCTGCGGAGGACAAAAATAACAAATCGGATGAACAATATATATGGGAGCTATAGCTATATCTGAACCGATTTCGATCAAATTTAACATACTAGTTTCTAGACTCAATTCGGTCGTAAGTGCTAAATTTCAACCAATTTGGGCAAATATTAGACGTTTGGTGCACAATAAAAGGCAAATCGGACGAAGTTATGTATGGGAGCTATATCCAAATCTGAACCGATTTCGATAAAATTTAGCAAATGTATTTCTGAGCTGTATTTGATATATTTCCCCAAATATTGTTGTTACAGAGTGCATATTACGCTGCGGAGGACAAAAAGTAACAAATCGGATGAACAATATAAATGGGAGCTATAGCTATATCTGAACCAATCTTTACCAAATTTGACATACTAGCTTCTAGACTCAATTCGGTGGTCGTAAGTGCCAAATTTCATCCAATTTGGGCAAATATTAGACTTTTGGTGCACAATCAAAGGTAAATCGGACGAAGTTATATATGGGAGCTATATCCAAATCTGAACCGATCTCGATAAAATTTAGCAAATGTTTTCTGAGCTGAGAGCTATAGCTATATCTGAACCGATTTCGATCAAATTTGGCATACTTATTTTTAGGTCCAATCTGAACGTACGTGCAAATTTCCATACTATTCGGACTGATATTACACGTTTTGGTGCACAATAAAAGGCAAATCGGACCAAGATATATATGGGAGCTATATCTAAATTTTGACCGATTATCTCCAATTTCAATAGGGCTCGTCCTTGGGCCAAACGAATGATTTGTGCAAAATTTCATCTGGATAGGACAATAAATGCGAACTGTACTTTGTTTACAAAAATACATGGACAGACGGACGGACATTCATAAATCGACTCAGAATGTGATTCTATGCAGATCATCAAAAGGAACTATGGGTCTATCTCGTTTCCTTTTGCCTGTTACAAACAAATGCACAAAGACCATGATACCCTGACCACCTTATGGTGTAGGGTATAAATATTCGTGATGGAATTCAAGCGTGATAGTGTGATTTCTTTATATTTGGCTGGAAAACCACAGGTGGCTATCGTTAGAGCACTCCAGCATTTAAATGTGAAGAAATCTTTTGTATTTCGTACAAGGAAACAGCAACATCAGGAATGATTCGAAAAGTAAAGAAGCGACTTGATCGAAACCCCCATCGCCGTGGACGATGGTTGAAATGGCTCCTGAGCTGAACATATCGCAATATTCCATTCGTAAATATTGAAAAATGAGCTCGGGATAAAGCCATTAAAATTCCAAAAAGTGCAAGAACTTATACCGCAACAGAAAGAAAATAGACTCAAAAGAGCTCAAGAGTTGCTTCGCTTGGCCGAAAGTGATGAACTGCCAAATTTGGTGGTCTCCGATGAGATAACATTCATTGTCCAGCCATTTGTAAACAAACAAAATGATCGTGTTTACTTGCCATAGAGGTCAGCTGAAAATGTGCAGCTTTAATTGGCCACCAGAACTCAAGCGCCGGTCATGGTTGTTGTTGTTGTAGCAGTAGTACATGTGAGTGTTTGCGTTTTGCTAATCTGGTTCCAGCTTCAGGTTTAAAAATTCGGCTACTTTGATGAGCTGTTACCAGAGATCTTCTGAAGTGAGTTGGGTAGGCTTGGCTGTGCAATTAAAGAGATGCAGCGTATTGTGCGGACCTGTATCACACGCCGGGCAGGCGTCACGCACATCTTCATCAATTCGTGCCCAATACGAATTGAGACGACTACACCATCCTGAACGTAATTGTGCCAAGACTACCCTGGTTTTTTTCTAGGCAGTTGCTGTTCTTCCGCTGCAAAGGATGGGGCCGGCCATGGTGATGGTGTGGGCCGCAATAACAGCCGATGCTAGCTCTCCGCTCGTATTAATCGACCATGGCATCGGAATAAATGCCGAATATTATCGCGAAAATATTCTGGAGGGTGTATTAAAGCCTTGACCACGCCAACATTTTGGCCGCAGCAGACCTTGGACATTCCAACAGGATCCAGCATCGCATCGCACTCAGCACGCGCCACCCAAGAATGTGGTTACAAAATGAGGTTCCTCCTCGCCGCATTTCCAGCGCACAATGGCCACCAACCAAAATCTCCGGATACCAATCCCCGTTGGACTATTGCGTCTGGAGTATTTTGCAAGGAAAGTAAGGTTGGCACAAAAAAATATACCAAAGTGACGATCACTTCAAGCAAGCGCTTCGCCGGGAATTGGACAAAAATACCGCAGAGCAACATTCGGACACAGCGTGTGACGGTTTCATTGGCAGTTTGAAGGCCATAATTCGTGCCAAAGTTGACCAATTCGAACAAATCTAAACTTATTCTATTTCCGACATGTTTTGCTTTGCTTTGAAAAAAATGTAAATATTATGGCTTTTGACTTTGTTGCAGTTTTTTTTTATCTCAACCTATGAATGCCTTGCTTCTTGTGAGTAAGGGGCTCCAATCTGTCCCCTTTGCTTATCTTCTCATGTTGCTTATCATTCCGTCTATTAAACATTCTTTTCTTTCCAAAAAAGAAAAAAAAAACAGTTTTGAAATGAAAAAAATGATGACCAAATATTTGTCTATTTGTTCCCCCTGGTTTTTGGTGGAATATCCTAATTGTTTGTGTGTGTGTGTTTTTTTAAATGCATATTTAATTAATGACTTGTGATGACTGGGACAGCTCAAAAAAACTCACTGTTTTTCCATAACAAGCTCTTATCAAAATTTACCGCCCACACACTCAGTTAAAAACATTTATCTGCATATACACACAGATCATACACACACGCGCATACACACGAATGGCTTATTTTTATTAGCATAGTTACTGTTATTGCATTTCTTGTATAGCCTCTAGTGACTATTGTTTAAATTTAATCAAGATAAGCTACATATATTGGACATAAAGAATAATAAACTAACTCGCTCACATGTCTAAATACAGGGAGTTGAGTAAATAAGAATTTCGAAGTAGGCAATAGCTTAGCTGATAATACGAAAAAGCACAGAAAAAAAAATGGAATGGATTCGTATGACAAAAATGTCTATGGCTAAGGGTAATTTGAGGCCCAAGTTTAGGGCGAAAAGTTGGGAAAAACAATATTGCAACAAAAATTAAAAAAAAATAAATAAATAATAAAAAAAAGCAATTAAAACCGCAACACAATCGTTTGGGCATTTGGAGGAAAAAAATCGCAAAAATCACGTAGCAAAAAATGCTTTAAATTGCAATTAAATCAGCTTTTTATACCCCCAGCCATTTAAATAGATAGGGTATTTATCATTTGATACGGCCAAAAAGGTGGCTCATCGAAATAACGGTTTAAGACCATAGGTCTCTTTGGACCAAACGTTTGGAGTCGATCTAGTGATATCCATCTTTCTGGCTGGCTGGTGCGCACAATAACTGTCCGATTTGATTCAAACTTGGTACATCGTAATATTATTATCAAACTTAGATCGAGTTCGGAGATGGGAAATATCGGTCCACTCCTTCTGGTAACTTCCGCCACAAAATGTTAACATTTTCAAAGAAAATAAATTACTGCACAGAAAGAGAAAGGATAATCCGATTTTGTTTCAACTCTGCATATCCTAATATTTCCATCAGAGCTACAGCAGGTGCGAAAATGGACAATATCGGTTCACTCCAACAAGTATCTCCCCCACAAAGGGTCATAATTTGGAATAATTATTACTCTTATAAAATGTGATGTAAGAGTCCGATAGTCTTCAAATTACATACATCACAATATTTTTATTAAGCCAAGGTCTGGTGTGAAAATGGAATATATCGGTCCACTCCTTCTGGTACCTCCCTCACAAAGGGTTAAAATTTTGAATATCCATAAAGCCCATAAAACGCGAAATTAACATCTGATTCCATTCAGAATTGGCACATCACAATATTTTCATCAACACAAGATTTTTTATAAAAATTGTAGAGATCGGCCAATTCCTTCTGCTACCTCCCCCACAAAGGGTTAAAATTTTAAATAACCAAAACGATAATAAAATCCGAAATAAGCAACCGCTTCTCTTCAAACTACACACATCACAATATTTTTATTAACCCAAGACCTGTTATGAAGATGGTAGAGATCGGGCCATTCCTTCTGGTACCTCCCCCACAAAGGGTTAAAATTTTGAATATCCACGAAGCTCAAAAAACACGAAACTAACATCCGATTCTATTCATACTTGGCATATCGCAATATTTCTATCAAAACAAGATCTGATATAAAGGTAGTAGGGATCGCACCATTCCTTCTGGTACCTCCCCGCATAGCTTTAAAGATTTTGAAGAACAAAAGGCTCAAGGAGAGCGAATAAATGCATCCAAATCCATCTCCTTAAATTTCCCACACACAAACATTTTTGCTAACAAAAGATCAGTTGTGAAGATGATATACATCTGCCAACCCCTTGTGGTACCTCACCCAAAAAGGGTCACAATTTCCAATATTTATATTTGTCATAACTTGAGAAACAATTCGTCGGTTCTTAACAACTTGCTTTATCTAAATATTTCTCCTAATCAGAAATCTGATATGATATGTAATTTATCGGAATTTATGATTTCCCATTTGATTAGATGAAGTATGAAAATGGAATACTTCGGTCCGCTATATCTGTTAAATTACACATGTTTCCACATTTTCCAAAAATTTGCAAATGGCTCATATGAAGAACATGGAGTAGCCGATATAGTCCAAATCTGTCAACTTGTAATATCTATATCAGTCTTAGGTCAGATACGAGTTTGTCAATATTGGTCAACTGCTTCGGAACATCCGCCATAAAGAATCAAGAGTTTGAATAATCATAAGTCAAGGCTGGGGATATACATTCATCTGTCGACAAAACCGACAGATACTATTTACTTAGTTTTTTCTTTAACATTGCATTTGGGATATTGTTGATCGGATGACAAATTATCCTTCAGAAAATGTCACAAGGGTTGATTTTTTTCTGCAATAGAATATTCTTCTGTGATGAATTTATTTAATATTTCTGCAGGACAGATCATCCGGTTTTTAATTCTTCTTTGGAAAAGAAACTGCGGGAATATATTATTTCTTAAGGAGAGATAATCGGGTACGATTTTCTTTAAAAAGATTTCATGCAGAATAAGTTTTCTTCGTACGACGAAATACATTCCGGGATTAATTTCGTTAGAAAGATTCATCTGGGAATGAGTTTTATTTTTTTTTATTTATTTATTCAAGATTTCGTAACACAGAAGCCTTTTTAGGCCAAAAATAGCATTACAATGTAATATTACCAAATAGAAAAAATCTTAATTATACAAATACAAATATTTATTTTATCACACATTACTATAAAATACTTTATCTTACTCTACGGATGATTTTTTCTTTGATTTTTCTTTGATGCGATTTTCTTTAGAAAGGTTCATCCCCAATGATAAAACATCCGAATGATCTTTTCTCAGTGAAAAGACGCAAATAAGTGTTTTGTGCTCAAGGAGAAGTCGTTTTAAATGAGTTCTGGTGTATCAAGGAAGGATATATTCGGGATTTTTTCTGTAACATTCGATGAGTTTTCTACACAAAGACACTTGAAAGAAGTCCTGGATCATATATGATAAACTCTATCATGGAAAAATCCAATTTAGATTAGTTTCGTTCTGCCAAATGTAATTTCAGATGATTTTTTGGTTCTCTTTAATGGCTTATTTAATAGTCGTTTCAGAACGAATCTGAAAAAAGATTATCATTGAGTTTTTATGCTCTAAGTTTGTAAATTATAATACTTGTCTTATATTTCCCAATTAAGTCCTGATACAGACTAGGCGACTAGGGCTAAAGTATGTTTTGGAACACCTGATTCATATCAAAAATGAAATGTAACTTAAAACCGCCAAGGCTAGAAGTTACCTTTGGCCTTCCCACTTCAATTTTCCTCTATTCATTAGCTATTTGTTTTTAATTTTTATCATTTTCTATACGTTCTACTCTTGAATTGATTAAATGAGACAGCTGATCGATGTTTTGGCTGATCATATTGGGATGTTGCAATTTTTTGCAGAATACTTGATTGATAAATCATTTTATAAGGATAAATCCTTATATTTGTTAAATCCTTTCATAGATAAATCCATTTCTGACAATTTTTACTCAATATGCAATTGCCATGGAGCCTTTGCAATCTTAGATTATTTTTCTTTGCCAAAAATAATTATAGAAATTTTTTTTGATAAGGAGAAGGTCCTTTCCGATTAACTTGTCTATAAAATGCCATCCAGAACGAATCTGAAATAAAATCCAGTATTATTGAGTATTATACACTCAAAGGTTAAAAAATTATCTTGTCTTTGAATTTCCCAATAAGTAAATGTTTTACAATACCTAGATGTTACTTTTGGCCTTCTCATTTCCATTTATTTCTTATTTTCTCCTTTTTTTTAACTTTTATCATTTTCTATTAGTTTGCCTTATAATTGCCAAGATTCTATTGAATTGACTAAATGATTGACAGCTGATCGATCTTTTGGCGGCAAAATATGCAATATGCGACTGTCACGCATTCCTATTTCTCTGCCCCTTTTGTGTTTGGTTATGTTTATTCTCTCTCTCTCTCGCTCTCTTTCAAACACTCATCTAATTAGAATGAATTCCCTGACTTGTCTCAGTGTATTTTAGTATGGAAGTGATTAGACTTTGCACGACAAAAGTAAATAAGCAAAAAGTTATAAAAAATGTACAACAGTAATAATAATAACAATTATTAAAAGAAAAACTAACTAAAAAACATCACATACGTGTATGGACATTAATGAGGCTAATGATGCTGGTTAAAATGTGTCAAATGTTTATGGTTGTTTGTGTTGTGGCACAAATATACAAATACCCTCTTGCCCCTCCCATACGATTCTTTCGGAGTTACTTACCAGCATTAAAGAAAAAATAATGCGCCTTCATGGGCAGTAAATCTTTGTCAACTTTTGGTCTCATTTTGATGCAGTAGCAGCGGCGGCGACCGGCGTAATTTAATGTTAATAATGATTATTATTTCTACTGCTGTTGTAATTATTCTCTGGTGGGTTGCTAATAGACCACCCTTCTTTGATTAGGCAAACACTGAATTGTAAAATGGCCCCTTCAATAGTTGAAATTAAGTTAAATCACAAAAGGAAATGTTAGAGTTTCGTGTTTTTTGTTGTTGTTCAGTTGTGGGGTGTAAATATTGACATACACAGCCTAATTATATACTAAACAAACGATAAGTCGCGACACAATGAATTATGGATGACATTTACACTCCAGTAACAACAACAAAAGACTATGGGCTTCCACATATATTGACAATTTCTGGCTTTGGTCGGGTCAGTGGCTATGGGTCAATGCATAACAAAATGTTGCTTCTCAAGTGTCAATTGAAGTGAGTGCAAATACTTTTTTACACAATAACAACACCAAACAACAATAAAAGTATCTGCTTATTTAATTAACCAAACATTTTTAATATATATTTCCCATTTAATTGATCATTAAAGACTTTTTAACCAGTTTTCTTAAACAATTTATTAACTCTTCACTTTATTTTTTTCCACACACACACCATACTCCGTCTTCATTCATTCATGCACACTCTTATTTCCTCTCACACATTCTCTCTCTCTCTCGTTCACTCGGCCAACACATTTGTCATGCTGATTTACTTTTTTTTTGTTTTTCACCAATGAATTATTAAAAGTAATACACTTTGTCTTGACCAAGCACATGGATTTAAAGCTTACGCCAAGATTTTTTTGCTCGCGTATTGCGTGTCTAGCGCATCTTTTGATATTCTGCGGGAAATTTATTTCGTATGGTTGACGAATAAATAAACACTAGCAGAAAAAAACGAAGGAAAACAATTTGACGGCTGCTAGTAAGGGTTGCCATATTGTCATTGAAAAACGTATGCTTAGCAACATTGATGGAGGGAAACAATGTTTCCAACGTCAAATGTGCTGGGAATTTTAAATTAGTCATGCAAGCTTTTGATTTATTATTTTAACAGATGTCGCTCTGTAAGGAGGGGAAAACACTAATGGTAATTGTTATGGAATTTCCTGGGTAGACAGAAAAGTTCATTCGAGAGTTTTTTTCCATATAGAAATGTTAATCAGAGATAAAAATAGTTCATTGATAAAGTTTTTTAAAGAAAAAAATCATCATTTCCTTAGAAAATTTCATAAGAAAAAATGGTTCTCGTTAAATCTTTTCTGAATCTGAGATGTTTTTTTCTTCACAGAATTGCATCGGAATGAATTTTTCTTTAGAAAAGTTCATAGGGGATTAATTTTTCTTAAGAAAACTCATTGGGGATGAATTTTTCTTTAGAAAAGTTCATCGGGGATGAATTTTTCTTTAGAAAAGTTCATCGGGGATGAATTTTTCTTTAGAAAAGTTCATCGGGGATGAATTTTTCTTTAGAAAAGTTCATCGGGATGAATTTTTCTTTAGAAAAGTTAATCGGGGATGAATTTTTCTTTAGAAAAGTTCATCGGGGATGAATTTTTCTTTAGAAAAGTTCATCGGGGATGAATTTTTCTTTAGAAAGGTTCATCGGGGATGAATTTTTCTTTAGAAAAGTTCATCCGGGATGAATTTTTCTTTAGAAAAGTTCATCCGGGATGAATTTTTCTTTAGAAAATTTCATCGGGGATGAATTTTTCTTTAGAAAAGTTCATCGGGGATGAGTTTTTCTTTAGAAAAGTTCATCGGGGATGAATTTTTTTTTTAGAATGTTCATCCGGGATGAATTTTTCTTTAGAAAAGTTCATCGGGGATGAATTTTTCTTTAGAAAAGTTCATCCGGGATGAATTTTTTTTTAGAAAATTTCAACCGGGATGAATTTTTCTTTAGAAAAGTTCATCCGGGATGAATTTTTCTTTAGAAAAGTTCATCCGGGATGAATTTTTCTTTAGAAAAGTTCATCCGGGATGAATTTTTCTTTAGAAAAGTTCATCCGGGATGAATTTTTCTTTAGAAAAGTTCATCCGGGATGAATTTTTCTTTAGAAAAGTTCATCCGGGATGAATTTTTCTTTAGAAAAGTTCATCCGGGATGAATTTTTCTTTAGAAATGTTCATCCGGGATGAATTTTTCTTTAGAAAATTTCATCCGGGATAAATTTTTCTTTAGAAAAGTTCATCCGGGATGAATTTTTCTTTAGAAAAGTTCATGGCGGATGAATTTTCCTTTAGAAAAGTTCATCGGGGATGAATTTTTCTTTAGAAAAGTTCATCGGGGATGAATTTTTCTTTAGAAAAGTTCATCGGGGATGATTTTTTCTTTAGAAAAGTTCTTAGGGGATGAATTTTTCTTTAGAAAATTTCATCGGGGATGAATTTTTCTTTAGAAAATTTCATCGGGGATGAATTTTCTTTAGAAAATTTCATCGGGGATGAATTTTTCTTTAGAAAATTTCATCGGGGATGAATTTTTCTTTAGAAAATTTCATCGGGGATGAATTTTTCTTTAGCGAAGTTCATCGGGGATGAATTTTTCTTTAGAAAAGTTCATCGGGGATGAATTTTTCTTTAGAAAAGTTCATCGGGGATGAATTTTTCTTTAGAAAAGTTCATCGGGGATGAATTTTTCTTTAGAAAAGTTCATCGGGGATGAATTTTTCTTTAGAAAAGTTCATCGGGGATGAATTTTTCTTTAGAAAAGTTCATCGGGGATGAATTTTTCTTTAAAAAAGTTCATCGGGGATGAATTTCTTTTTCTTCAGAAGTAAAAAAGTGTGTTTTTTTAATTTTCAAGTTTTTTTATTGTTTTGTTGATTCTTTGTTTTACTTCTTCTTCTTCTTTTAAATATATTTTCTCGTTCAAAGCATTCTTCTCCGTCTGTCTCTCTCTTCCATTCTCTTAAATATTATTTTATATAAACATTTAACGAAAATTATTTATTTAATTAAAAAAAATAAGATGAGCAAAATTGTGAAAATATTTGGGCGATGGAGGAGGTGGAGGGTCAGGCTTTTAAATTGGAGAAAATTAAAACACTATTGGCTTGTATAAAGAATTAACTAAAAAATATATAATGAAAAAAAATTAATAATAATAATAGTAATAATTAATATAATTATAGTAATAGTTGTTGTTGTAGTTGTTTGTTGAAAAAAGAACATCGAGTTGTGGGTTTGTAAAAAAAATAATGATTGGGGGTTTGAGGAGGAGGAGGTTGGTAGGGGGTGGGGGAGGGGAACGGGAGTTGTTTTTCAATCATATATATGACTATAATGTTGCTGATATATGTGTATATAGTTCTCCTTCTCCTGCTGAGACATTTGGCCAATTAGCACATCATTGATTTGATCAATGGGATGAGGACGGCCGGCCACCAAAACGGAAGGAACATCATCCTCTTCTTCTTCAGATTCGGAATTAATAAAGTTATTGTAATCATCGTTATTGGCTGCAGAAACGACAAAAATAAATTAAATAAAGAAAATTGAAAAGAGTTTCCTCGAATGACTACTCACGAATTTTGGTATTTTCTATGTCATTTTCATCATCACTCGAATCACTGGAATTGGCATTGGAAGTACCGAAACGTAGACCCTTGCTATTGTTTTTCTTTTGTTCAGGTTGTTTTTCATATTGCAACAGGACAGCCATGATGTCTTCCTGTTCCTTTTTGCGATTGTTGTTGAACGTACTGTTTGTGGTGCTGGTGGTGGAGGTGTTGCCTCCGGTGGCTGAAGACCACGCCGACAGGCCGGGTTGTTGGGAATTTTGTGCTGCTTCATTGAGTATGGCATCTGTATTGTCGGTATTATCCTCGGTGATGACCGTACTCTCCGTCATCCAAATGGGGCGGGCCTTACGTTCGGCCACGGTATCGGGTACATCATCACCACCAATGTTAATGTCCACCCGGGTTTCTTCCACAGCAAAACCTTGGTTTCGCGTGGCCTCTCCAGACCATTGTTGGCCCTCGCCACGCACCGCCGAGGGTTTGTTAATCCTACAAAGAGGCAAAAAGGAAATTCATACATTTTTTCACAAAATAACCTTCCTCCACCACTTACCCTCTTATCGTATCAATATCCACCGGCTCGGGTTCCAAAATCTCCGGTGCCAATTTAATGCCCTCCACCTCCCTCAGCAGATCATACAATGGCTGTAACTGTTCATTGAATCTGGCCAACATCAGGCGCGAATCTTTGGTCGGCATGGCCGAGGTATCCTCCTCCACCGTACACCCACAATATGTACAACGAAATTCCTGAGTATTGAAGTCAAACAGCTGATCGGCCTCCAAATCCGTAAAGGTCTTATTACAATTCGTACACTTGAAACTCGCCCGACTTGTGGCGTCCCGCTCCTCCGTCTCCATGCGCTTGCGCATCAGATCCAACTTATATTTGACTACATTTACAAAGGTTTTATAATTTATAAAATAATAATTGACTTTTTGAGCCTTGCCATCCGGACCCGTTTCCATTTTGAGACGGATCTGAATGAATTTATCGCTGCGCAGGGTGGTGATGCGGGCCCGCATTTGTTTCTTTTCGAAACGTAACAGTTCGGCAATGTCATCCTCTTTCATGCAGGGATTCCGGACCAACATGTCGATGATGAGGGCATCCTCAATGGTGTAGAAGCCCCGGACAACCAGGCGGGCTAACTGTTTTAGACTACTAGGCACTTCGGTAACATAACGGATTTCTGTATTGGATGTGGCAGCAGCAGCAGGAGCTGAAGACATGGCAGAGGAAGTAGAGATGTGAAAGGAAGGATATTTGAGGCGATACGAAGATGGGAGCTGGAAAGAGAAATACGGATTATTACATTAAGAATTTTGGAAAATCTAAATTCAATCAAACATCTAAATTCATCTGAAATGATTTTTTTTCTTTAGAAAAGTTCATCCGGGACGAATTTTTCCATAGAAATGTTCAACCGGGATGAATTTTTCTTTAGAAAAGTTCATCCGCGATGAATTTTTCTTTAGAAAAGTTCATGGGGGATGAATTTTTCTTTAGAAAAGTTCATCGGGGATGAATTTTTCTTTAGAAAAGTTCATCGGGGATGAATTTTTCTTTAGAAAAGTTCATCGGGGATGAATTTTTCTTTAGAAAAGTTCATCGGGGATGAATTTTTCTTTAGAAAAGTTCATCGGGGATGAATTTTCTTTAGAAAAGTTCATCGGGGATGAATTTTTCTTTAGAAAAGTTCATCGGGGATGAATTTTTCTTTAGAAAAGTTCATCGGGGATGAATTTTTCTTTAGAAAAGTTCATCGGGGATGAATTTTTCTTTAGAAAAGTTCATCGGGGATGAATTTTTCTTTAGAAAAGTTCATCGGGGATGAATTTTTCTTTAGAAAAGTTCATCGGGGATGAATATATCTTTAGAATAGTTCATCCGCGATGAATTTTTCTTTAGAAAAGTTCATCCTCGATGAATTTTTCTTTAGAAAAGTTCGTCCGCGATGAATTTTTCTTTAGAAAAGTTCCGATGAATTTTCTTTAGAAAAGTTCATCCGCGATGAATTTTTCTAAAGAAAAATTCATCCGGGATGAATTTTTTATAAAAAGTTTATACGAGATGAATTTTTCTTTTTTAAAACGAATTACTTTTTCGCTTTAAGTAGTTTTGATTATATTTGCCCGTTTCCCACCAGCAACCACAAATTTTGCTTAGCGCCATCTGTTGTTATTCAAAATCAAAAGCTTTCATTGGCCCGAAAACACAATTTGACATGTTGCCGCGCATCCATTTGTTTCGCAACATAACCACATTCCCACACACATCTGGCAACAACACTTGTTTCGCTCTCCCTCTCCGGCGCCGTTTTTGTAGTTGTTGGTTTCTTTCAGGTTGCTGT